GTTTTGGGGGGTGTGCGCGATTTTTCTTCTTTTCTTGCGTGGGCTCGCGGGATCTGCCGAGAAAAATTACATGTCTGCATATGTTGTTGGCAACTTTCATAACAACGGGATCACGCCGCGCTCTCGTCCGATCGCGGAAGCTAAAGCCCGTTTGGCCCGTTCAGTACTGCCGTGGGTGACCAGGCGGGAATCACGGGTGATGTTGCTCTCTCCCTTTTTTTTTTTCCCTCTCCCATATGGGGCTGCTGTGCTGTGTTGCTGCTGTGCTGCGCTGGTTGCTGTGGTGCTGTCTCTCCTTCACTTCCCTCTTCTCTCTTCTCTTGTGCTTGGCTTGGTTTACTTCTTCTTTTCCTTTGCTGCTGAGCTGGGTTGCTTCCACTTCGTGGCGCGAAGGTCGTGGCGTGTCTCCCTCTCTCTTGTTGCTTGCCCTCAGCGTTGCTTTGCGACACACACACACACACACACACACACACACACACACACACACACACACACACACACACACACACACACACACACTCTCTCTCTCTCTCTCTCTCTCTTTCACATCTTTGGTTCATCCTCCTCGCCAAGATTGACTATGTACTGACGCGAACAGCAACACACACACACACACACACACACACGCACACACACACCACATGCGTCGACGCGGCAGCTACAAGGAAGACAACACATCCGTTTCGCTGTCAGCATCTTGCACGATCCAATGGGTAAAGCACGCATCCTCATCCCCAGACACCACGCACGACGCATCCGAAGCAACAGCAATCGCCCGCACAGCAGCTGTGTGTGTATGTGTGTGTGTGTGTGTGTGTGTGTGTGTGTGTGTGTGTGTGTGTGTGTGAGCACAAGCGGGTTGACAGTTGGGTTGACAGTGAATGGAGATGCACTCTTGCACTCACTCACACCTACACCTGCAATCATACACATGATCAAACACGACCGAAGCCTTCCTTCCCCCTTTAGTAAGCCAATGCCCACCCCTCACTCACCTTTGTGTTGACGGAAGGATTGCACGAGTGTGCGATGCGTGGAGTCCCACAGTTCAATGGCTCCATCCTCGCACCCCACAAGAATAAAGGTCCCTGAATGCGTTGCACAACCACACGCTTGCAAATGAGCTCAACTCTGTACGACAGCAAACGACACACGCACACACGCACACAGACACACACACACACACACACAATATCGCACCATCTGTTGCGATGCAGTGCGGCTCCTGGTCCAGGGTGACCACCATCGCCTCAACCAGCGAGTCCAGCAGCACAACCTGTACGTGCGTGCGGCGTGGCTGCTGGTGAGATGACGACGACAGCGAGAATGGAAGCACAGCCCACAGTCCACAAAGCAGAATAACCAACAACAACCTCCCTCCTCCCAGCGTTTACACCTCTTTTGTCCCCCCTACCAACCTTGAGCGTGCAGTCACTTGAGCAAGTGATGAGGCGTTTTCCATCGGGTGTGAAGCACAGGTCGTTGATGGCCTGGAAATGGAGATCGGATATTCTCCGCTGCTCCGTGTAATCCGCCAAGTCCCACACAGCCATGTGCCCCTCCTGATGCGAGTGAGTGAGAGAGAGAGTGTGTGTGTGTGTTCATTGTTTGCAAGTGAGTGAGTGTGTGTGTGTGTGTGTTTGTGTGTGTTCATTGTTTGCAAGTGAGTGAGTGTAAGTGAGTGTATGTGGCAGCAGCAGAATGACACACGACTGTTGAAAGTCAAACAACCCACGTCCACCAGCACGATCGTCCATGACCAAGCATCCTCCCTCCCCCCCCCACACACACATTGTCGCCGCTGATGGCCAGTTGCCGTTCCGGATGGACGGCGAGCGCCGTGATGTCGACAGCGTGCTCGCCAAGATCAGAGACGCACACGTAGGACCACGTCGTGCCGTCACTCTCAAGCTCCCACACCTGATCAAGGGCGGGGAGGAGAAATGGAGTGCGCACGTGAGAACGAGATGCACGGAGGATGACCAAAGTACCGAGACACCTTGGCGACTGCCATAAGCGCACGAGAAACCGCAAGCACCAGCACGGGCAAGGAGTGCAGACAGGCTGCAGGACACGATGAAAGAATATGCGTGACCGGAAAAGTTCAAACCTTGATGGATCCATCCCAAGAAGCGGAGAGGACGGTGACAGTCCTGTTGTCGTCGCTTGATCTGAACAGCTTCACCGTCGACACGGCATCGTGGTGCGCTGTGCATACACAGTGGCAGTGAAATAAGAGTTGAGGGCATGCACGACTGCCGAGCAATCAAGCAAGAAAACAGAAGGGTGGAAGGGTGGAAAGGAGGAAAGAAGCCAAGAAATCAAAACACCGCATGCAGCTCACATCCATATCACCTTGCCATTGAGACAGGACACTGCCAAGCTCGACGGAGTAGAGATACAAGCAGCTGTCCCAACTCGCAACCAACAGCGTCTGCACACGAAAACACACAAGAATGCGCGCATTTTTTTTTGTGTGAGCCCAGCGTCTAAACACAAGCCCGACTACCACCACCACACACACACACACACACACACAAACACACACGCACACACACACACACACACACACACACACACACGCTCACGGCCAGAGAGCAGCCACCGCACGTCGTTGTCTGGGAAGAGGAGGACGGCCGACAGGGACGAGTCACCGATGCGTTGGCCGATGACTTCCTCGTGACTCCGCAGATCGTGCACCTTCAACTTCGAATCCTGCGCGGGAGCAGGTGTGTGTGTGTGTGTGTGTGTGTGTGTGTGTGTGTGTGTGTGTGTGTGTGTGTGTGTGTGTGTGTGTGGTTTCGCGATTTAACGAGTGTGACACTTGCTGTATGACGACATCTGCTCGCACCTCACGCACTCATGCAGTGACGTACTTGAGAGACGGAGAACAAGGTGTTGCTGTCGTGTGAGAGGGCCAGGCCCGTGATGCCTTCGCGGTGGATGGGCAGCGTCGCCATGTGTGTCAGGTTGAGCATCACACTCCAGTCGACAACCGCGGACGGCGTTTGCTGTTCCACCACCAAGGGCACGTCAACCTCCAGGTGTTTCGTCACAACGCCGGCATCGTCCCCGTGGTCGGTGGTGTCGTCAGCGTGAGTCCCCGCCTCGTCGTCGTCTTCGTCCAGCGATGGTACAGCGTCACCCGTCATCTCATCCATGGGAGCGGATGCGTCTGCAGGACCGAGCGGCCGTTGCACGCACGGCAGTCTGCACATGGCGCGCGCGTGTGTGCGAATGTGTGTGTGAATGTATGTGTGTGTGTGTGTGTGAATGTGTGTGTGTGTGCAAATGTGTGTGTGTGTGTGTGTGCAAATGTGTGTGTGTGTGTGTGTGTGTGTGTGTGTGTGGTGAAGCACAAGTTCACAGCAAGCGCGCAGGGCAGAATGCTCGCTTGGTAAAACGGCCGACTCGCCCGAAGAACAAGTGTCCAAAACAACACGATACCTTCGCTGCGGGTGCGGAACGCTGAAGAGGAGGCGCGGCGTCTGCCCAAACTCCATAATCTGCACCTCAAACGCCTTTCGCTCGGCGGGATCCGAGACGGCATCCAGATCAAGCTCGCCCTCATAGCTGAGGTGAGGTGTCGGACACATGGCACAGGTGAGGAAAGTTGTCCAGCAAAGGGCACACACACACACACACACACACACACACACACACACACACACACACACACACACACACACACACACACAACACTGTGTGTTCACTTCCTTATCCCACGTACGTGAGATTAGGCATCAGCTCGCATGACCAAGGCCAGTACTGGTTAAAAGCATGACCTAGGGCCGCAAACGTGCGGACTTGGACCAAGACAATTACAGGATAATCATAGAGCATAGTGCTCATCGGTAGCTTGTTACGCCTTAGTCATAATTCCGGTCAGGTTGCCGAGGACTTCTATTAGGCTCACAGCGACGTCGTTAGATAGGTTACTTAACCGTCCTAATTTCCCGCCCAATCCTAAGCGCCTATACTAAGCGGATAAAGGGTAAATCATGCCGGTTACTCTAGCTGGCCGCCGCGTTGTCTGCGCGAGCGGGAAGGATTTAAGGCTAGGATAATGGACACACACACACACACACACACACACAAAGCACGAACACGCCGTTTCGGTCGCACGTGAGATAATAGAAGAGGTTGTGTGCCTTGACGGCTTCCGGGCCGGTCTGCTTGTAACCAAAGATGAGATCGATCCAGTGGTGTATGCGCTGCGACACATAGTCGCACTCCAGCGCCTGATGGGGAAAAGGGGGCATTGGACACCAAAGGCAACAAAGGATGGCGGTGGGAACACGTTAGATCATGTGTACAACGTCACTGTTGTAACGAAAACTCACGAGTCACACACACACACACACACACACCCACACACACACACCCACACACACACACACACACACACACACACACACACACACACACACACACACACACACACACACACACACACACACACGTACCTCGCGGCATTTGGCCAGAAAGTCAGCTGCGCTGTCGGCCCATGGCGGCAGAATCACGTCGCCAACCTGTTGCAAATGACGGCAGCGCGTATGTAAGGAAGCAAGCTTTTCCACAACCACCTCCACAAACATTCCAGCAAATCACTGATGGAACCCCACATTTTCAGCGTACCCGCTCGCCGCGCTGCGTGACGCCGAGGTCAAGGTTGTTGAGGTTGAGCAGGAAATCGGTGGACTGCATGTAAAACTCGGGAATCAACTCCTTCACGTCCGCCATGCCTGCAGGCAAAGAGCAAGGGAAAGGTGACGGCGAGGTCTGGAGCCAGCAAGCAAGTGGCAGGCGGAGCAACAACGGGCCGTGCAACACTCCAGGCGAGCGAATAAGACCACACCGTGCACCCCCTCCCCCATTACCCTCATCCTCACACTGCACGAGTGTCACACCTGAGTATGCGTTGTTCCACGTGTCTGCGATGGACCGGAACAGGCGATCCGCAGCGTCAAATTTGCCGTTCTGCCGTGTGTACATGTGTGTTGGGAACGTAGAACGGTTGTTGTGAGCAAGGAAGGATGGGGCCAGCTTCGCAAGGCTATCAACACACACACACACACACACACACACACACACACACACACACACACACACCCACACCCACACCCACACACACACACACACACCCACACACACACCCACACACACACAAGCATTCCCACCTGGAGATTGAGGCTATACTCTGGCGCTGCGCGAAGTGTGTAGAAGAGGACATATCCTGGCGTGGAGTAATGTGTGCCGTAATGGAACTTGGGAGCCGGCATCTCCTTCGTGGTGGGTGATGATGATGATGATGATGATGGTGGTGGTGGTGGTGGTGGTAGTGGATGAGGCGCACGAGCACATAGGGGTTGGGAGAGAGACAACTGACACTTGAAAGTACACAAGAAGAAGGAGCAGAATACACTCACGTTGTATCTGTTGATGAAGTCCTTGAGTCGCTCCGGGTTTTGCGCGCCTGAGGGGCAGTCAATATGGGCATGTCAACAAGGAACGCGCGCGGGTGGAAGGGAATGCAACAGGGGTTCTGAATGCACGACTCACGTGCATACAGACACAGGCACACGCAAAAACACAGACGCGTGCATATGCACAATCGTACATCACGCCGACACACACACACACACACACACACACACACACACACACACACACACACACACACACACATACACGTCCCACACGTCGCACCCATTGGCTTTGAGAGGTCACGGAACGTCTCTGGATTTTCGAGATCGAGGGTGTCGCTCGTGTAGTCCTTGATCACCCACTGCAGATCCAGGCACCGGGGCGTGTGAGGAAATGGAGAGTTCTAGGCGAGGGCATACGCTCACACTCACTCACATGTGGACATTCAGACACATGTACACGGACACACAGGTACACATACACGTGCGCACAGCCATGATCAGCCGGAAAAACTCACGGGGAAGACCGGGTACTGTGCGAGGTCAGTAAAGCTGCGGTCTGCGAGGTTGTTGAGGTACATGAGGTAATCAAAGTTGGAAATGGCCCCGTTCTGCCACGCAATCATCACGTTGTCCTGGTGGTCGGGCAGTGGGCGGGAGCACATGTGGTCGTGAAAAAAAAAAAAAAGGTGCTGTTGATGGGTGCTGCTAGTGCAACACACACACACACACACACACACACACACACACACACACACACACACACACACACACACACACACACACACACACACACACACACACACAGGGGCTTACTTTGCTGTCCTCCTCGAGCTTGAGACATGGCTGGCGCAGCAGTGCCGTCAAGAAATCATCCCTGCAAGCAACGCACGAACACCCGTGAGCACAGCCTCCAACACAGCCTGCTGAGTTACGTTTCACTCACTGCCGTCGTGGCAGCAGTCACCGCAGCCATCACCGTCTCCACATTGCAGCACCTGTCGTCCTTGTTCTGGAACGCAAGGTAGAGCGTGTCGCCGGAGCGGAAGAAGACCTCAAGGCCGAGATTCCGCAGCAGAAACCGTCGCCGCACAACAGACTTGACGTCCTCGATGCTGGCGGTGGCAATGTCGGAGAGGGCGTGAGTTGGTGTTGGGGGAAGCAAGTCCCATGCGAGGCACACGAACGCACACACACACGCACGCGCGCACACACACAGCACACACACACACGCACGCACGCGCGCACCCTTCTCCTCAATGTATCCTCCTTTCAAAA